ATAGGTTTCTGATCTGCAACTCAATGTTTTCTTTCTCTCGGATAGTTAAAGCTATGGTTTCCTTTGCTGAATATTAATTGGCCAACATAATCTGGTAGATGAAGGTTTCAGGTTACGCCAGAAGATTTTAGAAGGACTATTCTTATCTCGAAGTTGAAGAGGAACCAATGAAGATATGAATATTGAACTGTCATCTGCGTTTTCATTTTCAAACTTTTGTTTGTAGTTGGAATGATCTGAAGAGCCGTCTAGGCCCCATTTTGAAATTAGCTTCAATGCAATTGAATCAGGTTTATCATCCATAGAACTCATCAAACGCTTTGCGGTATGGTCCAGAAGTTTTGCAGCCTCACCTCAGATCGCGTTTCAGTTATATCTATCCCATCAGGAATACAACACTCCCGAGTAATGGAAACGTTGAGCAAGGATGGATATATTTGGGGTGTATTGAATTTTTTAGCTTGACTCCTTAGAAGTAACCACTGACGCTTTGAGATTTCGCCTTCAATGAAAAACGAAAGTCCTTCATCTTCTGACATTTTTCCCGATGGTTGATTTTTGTTATGAGTGGTCCAGGCTTTTCGAATTTTTGACGCCCGCTTCGGTGTGGATTGCAAAATTTCGTTGAGAAGTTTAGCCGCATCCTCATTCCTCTCACTTCGTGCCTTCATTTTAGCAGCCAACGACAATTCCTTTGCAGATCCCATGCTTCTTAGAGGTGCAACTATTCGGCGCTTGTTTTGAGTATTTAAATCTTGAAATGTTTTCTTTGGCCTACCCCTTGTTTCCGTTTTTGATATTACTAATGCACTTTGACTATATGTTTAGTATTACTTCTGCGTGACTGCGTGACAGACTAAAGTGGTAATTTTTATACGATAGATGAGGAGATGAAAGTATAGAATTGATAGTTCCGTTTAGAGTACGGCTGTGTGAAAATTGCAGAAAGCGAGCTAGACAACTTTTAGGAAGGTACAAATCAGTTTTATCATCTCTCTTTACCAAACTCCCCCTTTGGAGAGGGATGGTGAGGGGTGCCCCCTCCCCCCCCCCCCCGCCACAATTAGAATCTTTAACTATATTACTAATGCGTTTGCCTTCAGCCAAGTTTCATATCTTGTATTGAAAACTTCCACGGACTTTTTACAGCTCTCCAACGTTTTTCAAAGTGCGAACAAAGCCTGGATACATTTTTAGCAATATTTTTTATTCCAACGGACACTTGCTCCTCCACATTTAGTTAAACGTATACCAAAACGCGATAATATTTGACATGACGATTTCCGTGAATCTTCTCTGCCCACACTTTGAACAATTCCATCCGACAAGGATTTAATTAATTCATTTTGAACCACAACTTCCACACAAGATGTTTGTAAAAAAACACACTTAGATAATTAAATAAAGCCTATCACTCTTTGCTGTCACCAAAACGTCAAGCGCAAAATACTTTGTAAGGTCATCTGCAGCAGCGCTCAGCGATGTCCACGCGGCAATTTCAAACATCTGATATGACGTCACGTTCCATGTTCTGAAAAGAGGGTGGGTAGCTCTAAAGGGTTCCAAAACCGTAGTCAGAATTTTATCATGTATTCTGGTTTTGTTGAAAGTTATACCGATAGGTATTGCGAATATTTTAGTCCATATGCTATGTAATTGCCCTTTATTACGAGGATTTCTGTCGAGTAGCTTCTTAAAGTTTTCTATTACCAATGGGCTCATTACTTCACAACGGATAAGAAACCGGAAGGACAGTTCCGCGAAACTATCTGTCAGTGGGAGAACACCCGCGAGTACTTCGAGGCTCATCGTATGCGTCGATTGCATACAGCCAAGCGCGATCCGGAGTTCCAGTAATTGTACGAACAAAATTTATTCTTTGCTGGCATTTTTGTTTCACATACGCAATAATTTTTCCCCATGTGCATTTGGAATCGAACCAGACACCTAAATACTTAAAAGAAATACTTTGAGTGATTGTTTTACCCATTAGCTGAAGCTGTAACTGTGCAGGATGATGCTTCCTAGAAAAACAACCAACTCAGTTTCCGCCGGAGAGAATTCGATACCCAGCTTCATAGTCCAAATAGACAAATTTTCTAAGGTATCTTGCAATGTTCCTTGCAGGTCCGGTGCACTTGGCCCTATAACGGACACAACCCCGTCATCTGCAAGCTGCCTTAGCGAGCAATTTTCATCAGGACAATCATCAATGTATTTTACATAAAAAATATAAAGAAGGGGGCTTAAACATGAGCCCTGGGGGAGACCCATGTAACTAATTCGTGAAGTTGTCGAGTTTCCATGAGAAAAGCTCATATATTTCTCAGACAGCAAGTTGCTCAAATAGTTGTTCATAATTGTTGAAAGCCCACTATCGTGGAGTTTATCCGAAAGGACATCGATACAAACAGAATCAAAAGCCCTCTTAATGTCCAAGAAAACTGAACCTATTTGCTGTTTTTGCGCATAGGTCAGTTGAATTTCAGTTGAAAGCAACGCAAGGCTCGTTCCTTTGTCTCCCCGAAATCCAAATTGCGTATCTGAAAGTAAACCATTCGACTCGACCCATTTGTCTAGACGAAAAAGAATCATTTTCTCCAACAATTTCCGTATACAGGACAGCATCGCGATGAGACGGTACGAGTTATAATCCGACGCGGGTTTACCGGGTTTTCGAATGGCGATAACTCTTACTTGCCTCCAGTCATCCGGAACAATGTTGTGCTCCAGAAATTGATCGAATAAGCTCAATAAGCGTCTGTTCGCGACGTCTGAGAGATTTTTGAGCAAGTTGAACTTGATTCTATCCATTCCTGGAGCTGAGTTGTTACATGAGAGGAGCGTAAGTGAGAATTCCACCATCGAAAACGGGGAATCTATTTCGTTACTACCCGACGGACGATCATGAACGTTGGTTTGAACCGACACCGAATCCGGGCAAACTTTCCGCGCGAAACTGAATATCCAACTGTCTGAGTACTCCTTGTCTTCGTTGACCGGTGATGACGCGTTCCGCATTCTCCTGCCGACATTCCAGAGTGTTCTCATGGAAGTCTCTCGCGACAAACCATCGACGAACCGACGCCAGTAACCGCGTTTTTTGGTGAGGTCGTACGCGATGTCAACCGAGCGAGTGTAAGATGAACCATTGGTAATAGAAATTTTAATTGGCAAGTGGTCACTACAGTAGGGATCTTGAATTACTTTCCACGAGCAATCCAACGATAGTGAACTCGAACAAAGTGAGAGGTTTAATCTGCTCACTCTTGCTGGAGGATTGGCTACTCTTGTTGCTTCCCCGGTGTTCAGAATTGTCATTTTGAAGATGTCGCACATGTCGTATATCAAGGTTGAGCGGTTGTCGTCGTACAGTCACAATTGGAAGCACTAAGTGTATAATGTTCCTCGTTGAGTCAGAGACGTTAAATATATTGAAGATGCTCTCCACAATTCCAGAAAACGTGAACATGGCATCATGTTCTTGCTGATTATTCAGCTTTTTTTCTGACTGAAAAACTGGGATATCTGGGGTTTTTGATGATCCCGGGAGTGTCAAAAAGTCTTTGTTAAAATTACAAGATTTAAATCCCTGGGGTGGGGGTTTTGCTACATTTCCGCTACCTCTTAAATTTGTTAAGGTAGGTTGAGAGTCCGTACAAGAGGCCTTACGAGGTTTTTGGGTGACGTTTGTTTTGGACCGGTTCCTCGTGTTGCCGTTAAATACAAAAGGACTACTATCACCAACCTCTGAGTCAGAGCCCTGATCATCATCTGGCAGGAGGTGGAATGTGTTGTTGCTTTTTGGGGTGGGTTGGGAAGATAAAGCGGTCGTTTTCAAAATTTCTGCTAACGAGCGCTTAGAGCGAGCTTGCAAAGACCGCTTTAATTTTTCTCCCTGCTGTTTGTACTTCGGGCAATCATTCAGAGCATGCGGAGCATCCTTACAGTAAACGCATTTTGGGGTAGCATGACAAGGACCCTCCGTATGCTCCTCCCCACATTGATCGCACCGTGGTTTGTTGGAACAAAAGTCCGCGGTGTGACCTAGTTGTTTGCATGTCAAGCAATTCATTAACCTCGGTACAAACAAGCGCACAGGTAGTAGAACCTTCCCAATTGTGACGTAGTCAGGTACTGCCGATCCTGAAAATATCACACGAAACGAATCTGAGAGGGTATACTTTTTGTTAGTGCCTATGAGCGACACTGACTGCAGTTGAATGCATTCCAGTATCTTGACTTTCGGGAGGGCACGGTTTTTTTTATTTATATTATAGACCCTTTTTGGTTTATTTGGGTCTTGGGCATGGTTTTTGAAAATGTCGAAAGATTCGACTTGTAGGAAATCCTCACAAGTCAGACTCTATTCGGTGACCACTCCTTCAATTTCTACGTCACAACTGGGGAAGTAGACTCGATATTCGATCGTAAAAAAATCACAGGCAACAATCCGGTCTACCTGTTTCAGGTTATCAACGGTAACGCGCAGTTTGTTTGACGTCACCTTAAAGATATCGGTTACGGCCGAAAAATATTTTGTCAGATCCTTCGAAATCCGAGAAATATTCAAAGGTTTTTGTTTGGGCCGGACGAAAACAACCCACGGACCTTTCAAGTCATCAGGGTAAGCCTTGTGGCGAAGGGTCGCTGATATTTTCGGGGGAACGAGTGGAGTAGGGAGCACAGAAGGACAAGGCGGCGATGGAGGAGAAGGGGGCTGTGGTAGAGATTTCACTTTTGGATAGGCTCCAGTGTTCTTACTGGTGGTTTGATCAAGGTGCTATTCGAGGGTATCCATTTCCTCAGAGCTATCAAACTTTTTAAATGAAGTAGACTTTATTGACTCATCATCAGAGATGTCAAGCGACAGACCCATTTATTGAATACCGTTTGCTAAGTGAACTTAGTGAACTAAAAATATTTAAAAAAATATTGTATTGAGATTTCAGATACGATTAATTATTGTCAAGCTAACAAACTCATTTCTCTATTTTCAGCAAATCAGCTCCTCAGTTTCTTCTAAATGTGTATGATAAAATATCAGCGGATTCTAACAATTTTCATCAGCGGCATATCCGAAGCGCTAGTAAAGAAGATGTTTTGTTTACCGACGCAGATAACAAAGCAATTGATCAAAGTGACATCATTATGACATTTTTGAATAAAAGTAAGTGTAAGTAAACTACATTTTTTTAATTGAAATTTTAATTGAAAAAATGTTGAAGCATGAATAGTTTCTTTTTTGTTTTGAATTGTTCGCACACTTGTAGGAACAGTTACTGCCGCTATTCGCATAACAGTCCTATGTAGATAGGAAATCCACAGGACATGGGACTGTTATGCGAATAGCGGCAGAGTAGCTGTTGAATAAACCCATGTTCATTGGTGAGGGGTGTTTTAGGCTTAGAATTTGATTAGTGTTTCAGCGGTATATGGAAAGTCTGGAATTTTAAATGCTACCCCCTGAAATGATAGTTTGGGGGGTCAGAAACACCCTGCCACAATTTGAAGTCATTTGGTTGACGGGAACACCTCCCTCAAAGGACATGCATTTTTTATGGGAAAAATCGACAAAATGTATGGGTAACGAGCTACTTTCACATTTGCGGCTCTAGGTGGCGCTGTGGTTGGTCGATTATATCAGTGTATAAACTGTAGATTTTTTAGAGTTTTGGGAACAGTTTTGATGAAGACCGGATGTTAATCCGAGTTATCCTCAAAAATTTATTAGCATTTCAAATGAACACCACCTGCCTTGATATTGGTGAGGGCCTATGTGGTTTTATTTTCACGAACAGGCATACGAACAGCATGGGTATAACTTTTTTTATTCGCCTTGAAATTGGCTGAAATTTTCCGACAAATATTTTGACAAATGCAATCCGGATCTTCCGGCAGACCATCTGGTGACCACTCAGAGCCAGAGCAGAGGACAATCACGGCATATTTTGCTCAAATTTACGTAGCTATGAAATTTGCATATGATACGGATCTTCCGGCTTAAATTCAATGACTAGCTAATATATCAAAAATCAGAGCTCTGCGTTTTTTTAAACATTAAAAACTGTGAAATAAGAAAGAATATAGGGTCGTGATAAAAACATGTATCTGGATGGCCATGGCCTGGAATATCTGGGACATCCGCAAACGTGGTAAATCTACGAAACTGATCCTAGAGCTCCGTGGTTTCTTCGAAAACGCATGGAACTGTGATATAAATAATAATTTTTGGATGTGACATAAACGTGGACCCGGATGGCCATAAGGACGTTCTCCGGAAGATCCAGTACATCCGTAAAAGTGATCCATCCATGAAACATATTCTATAGCTCCATGATTTAATAAAACATAAATTAAAAAAACGATGGCAACTTGCTTCTATTGTACTGACAAGAAAAACAAAAAGGGTAACAAGCAACACATGTGGTGTTTATGTGTGATCAAAACATCCATATGTGAAAGGTGTGCTTAACAATAAGAATGTAAACATTGTTATACATTGGGTTTTGATAAGGAAATAATAAAAAAAAACTACAAGGGACAGCCCTATGGTTGTACGCAATGGTGACGTAGGACTACGTGGTCTTATATAATAAATCTTATTTGTTAACTACAGCAGGAGCTTGTGTTTTGTGTAGGAATAGGAATTTTAGCGAGGTTCTCTCTGTTTATACTCTTTAGTATGACGCGCTTGACATAGATGGCCCACAGCGACTCACGAAGAGCTACTGATTCCGATCAATAGCAGTGCGGCTTCTTCCTCTTTCTATGGAAGCTCATGTGGGCTGCAACTCGCTGCTTGCATGCAGCCTTCCGTTGGGTACTGGAAAACACCACCACTCACCACGCGGTGATTGAATTAACACCGCATGGTGAGACCGGATAGAATTCAACTTTGAAATCTGTGCTAGGGAAATCGCTTTTAGCATGAAATCGGTGATAATTTTAATTATCATAGTAGCAGTTGCACATTCGTGCAATTTTCAATAGTGACATTTGAAAAATGATAAAGTTTTAAATTTAGCAGATGCGTAGAAATATTTCTGATCGATTGTTGATAAAATTATTGAAATTGGTCCAGGGGCACCTGAGTTATTAACGTTCAAAATCTTTCATAATTTTGTGACATGTTCCATTCGGTTCGGTTTTCACAAAGTGTACCCGCATATAGAAATTACAGACGTAGTTCTACGTCAAAAACATGAACACAATTATTATTTCGTAATTATTAAAAAAAAACTTGAAAATATTATTATATTTTACTCATTTTTAAATGATGGAGTTTGGAACTGAAAGCTAATCGTTGAACGGATAGATAATAACAGTGCATCACAAAATTGATTATATTTTTAATTTTTGTTTTAAATTGATGCATAACACTCAGGTTGAAGACAACATTAAATCAGACCCAAAATCATCTTTTAACAGAACAAACAGAAATCAAATAATTATCCTTAGAAAATTAACCTAGACCACAAAACAGGAAAAACGACTAGCGAGATCAGTAACTTATTTGCTGAGTTTTTTTAGGATATTTACAGTCATGATGACCAATACCGGGATTACCAGATAAGGCACATTATGTTGAGACACTATATACTGACTTCAGTAAAGCCAGACCCCCTTCACTCTTTGGAATTTATAGAGACAGATAACAGTGCCAATAGGTTTGTGACGATACAACGTTGAACTGCAGCGTTGGAAGAAAACACGCACATCATCATACATGTACGAACCCACACCACTGTGCGAGGGTACAGGGGAAGCGGTGTCAGCACTCATCGTCATCACTCAGCTTCGGCAGCTTCAGTTTGCGATTTCATTCACCGTCATTGAAAAATATCTTCGTTATAAAATAGAAAAGTAATCAATATTTCATTTTCATTTTCATTTTCATTTTATGATGTACAAGGGGGTCAGGGGCCATGTCACCGATGTGAATATTCACACCATCCATAATACACCAGGGAAGGGGAGAGGAGTGAGCAACACAGCATCTCTACCCATGGGGGTTAAAAAAGTTCTGCGAGGTACACTTATGGTGAACAAGCGACTCAGGGATTGTAGAAAGGAAAAGGGTTGGGTAGGTTTAAAATGCAGAATTAGATGCCGTCACGATTGAATGCGCATGTTTAAACAACGTTGATCCAGGTACCTATCATATAAATTTGCATATAATCTAGTTATGATTATTGTCAATAATACTTACATTTCGATAAAGATAATACTGCCTACTTTACCTGTTATGTGATACTTATCTTCACAGAGTCCAACCTTGAATCGTAGATCAGGTCCACTAACAAAAAAATTCGTTCCGAGAAGGGGCTTATGGTCTTCTTCTTCTTCTTCAGGTTCGTTCACCACCCGGAATGAAGGCTCGGTGCGGTTAGTAATATCAAACAGTGTTACATGCAAACGAAAAAGAGGTACAACCAGGATTAGTTTTTTAAAGTAAAAGTTTCATCTGAATACCCAACTAACCATATCTCAGTGACATTGTCCCACTCTGAACCCACACCTAAAGCTATTTTGTGATTATATGGTTACTTTGGTACTCACATGAAATGTTGTGCAAGTACCACAAGTTCAACAACGCCCAACTATGGACAGCTTAATGTTAATACCATTTACTCTTTGAATCAGCTTACACCAACATGATAATCTACTAAGAAACATCTAAGAATGTATAACATCAAACTGTTCAATATTGGACCCTGCCAACACACGGCGCCTGCACGGCAATGTGGGCCGTCAGAATGTTTCATCGGTTGCGAAGTGAAGTGCTTCTCAAACTGAAGCGATACATTTCTCAATTTTTCAAAGTTATCCTAACGTAAACTTAATATTATCACCCATATGCCCGTCCACGCCCGAAACCCATCCACCACACAAAATCAAATAAAAATGTTTCTGTATGGCAAACACGTCTTGACATAAACGAGAATATGGGTGTATATCTTCACTGTAACAACTACGGGTAATCATCGAAAATACTTGCATTTTACTCAGGCACTTTTGAACAAACTGCAATCACTCTCTCATACTCAAAATGTGCCACGACCAAATTGGCACAACGACGCCCTATACGCTCTCTGACCAAAGCGCAGGGAAAATAGAAAAGTAATCAATATTCCAACTTAATTTTTGAATATCTAATAGTATGCAGCGTTGGTCAAGGAAGACAACATATTTTATTACGTTTGTTTAGCAATGATTTCGATACGTTGCTTTTTTTCCATGTATACTTCTATGCCTATAAAGATTATGTTATGTCATAAATCATAAGTTCTAGATTACTTTTTCGAAGGGACGTATCTGCAGTTGCATCTTACTGGTACCGGTGGTGATATTGGAAACTCGTTCACTCGAAAGCAAAACATATTACAAGCCCATCATGATGTTAGCTTGGATTTGTGATTGTTTTCTCAAGCGTTTCTGATGCGTTTAACGTAGTAATGATTGAACATCTATGCAATCATAACGAAGTAAGAATCTTGCTATCGCAATATAATAATGATGACATCGAACATCCTCTTCCCTCGGCTGATCATCAACGTCTGCGCTGGCATATGTCATACTGACACCTGCCATTTATTGAGCCCTGGTGGTGAAGTTGGCAGTTTTAATGTGCACTCACTAGATGGCATTGCGATCACATAAGGGTGGTATATCCATAGCCTTGTTCGAGGAATTGATTAGTGGGATATCTTGTTAATTAAATATCTTTGGTAAAGCGTTTGATAGAGTTGATATCCCTCTTTTGCTTTTCAAATTATCTAAGTTTCAGTCATACATGACCGGTAGGACACAAAGAGTTAGATTTGAAGGAGATTTGTCGTCAGTTGTCAATGTAACATCTGGTGTGCCACAAGGTGGACCATTACTGTTTATTCTATTTGTTAATGATGTAGAGCACATATTGAATATTCTTTATGTCTCAATTTATGCAAACGACATGAAACTTTTCCTGGAAATTCGTGAAACGTCTGATCTTGTAGTATTTCAACAAGAAATTGATAACTTTTACACTTGGTGTACAAAAAGTTTATTAAAGCTTAATGTGAAGAAATGTAATTCCATTTCATTTACAAGAAAGAAAATTATTAGGCAAGAACATGTAACAATACGACAAAACAGAGTTGAATGGTGCAATCAAGTTAGAGATTTAGGCATCTAGTCTAGGGTTTATTAAAAGGTTTAGCTTTCATTCCAATGATCCATACACAATCAAAACATTATACGTTGCATATGTTAGGCCTGAGTACTGTAGTATAGTCTGGGCTCCATATCAAGATACTCATATAAACCGCATTGAATCAGTTCAAAAACAGTTTCTATTATTTGCTCTAAGAAAGTTAGGCTGGACGAGTTTACCCTTACTATCTTATGAGTCTCGATGTATGTTGATCAATTTTGATGCACTTGAAAAGCGAAGGCAGTTTGCAATGATAGCTTTTATAAACGATGTTGTAGCACAAAGAGTGAATTCCACAGAGATTTTAGAAAATCTAAATTTTTATGCTCTTACTCGTTCCTTAAGAAACAGAAATATGTTTTATATTAACAACCAAAGAACAAACTTTGCCAGGAACGCGCCTTTAAATAGAATGATGTCTTGTTGGTGGGCGTTGACCAGATTTGGGTTTTTCAGATATAATCCTAAATAGGACCTAGATTATATAATACTCTAGTAACCTCAAGTCCGTGCTCTGTCATTGATATCATTTATTTGATTGAACGTCATTTCCAATTTATATATTGATACAAACCATTGGCATTTGGTATTTGAGATCAGACAGAAATAGGATGCAGAGGGCCCGCTTAGGGGGAGCGTAACCCATGTTATGGTTTCCATTTATTAAATAGTTCAGATAGGCTAGAAATGGCAGGTTTATAGTGAGAGAATCTGCCATATGGTGCTCGTTCACTGATCAAAATCAGATTCACATCGTTAGGCCCTGCCCAAGAATAAGGGGATTGATGATGATTTGCCAAGTTAAATTTTGCATTTGCATATAATTGCTATTTTAAGTTTGCTTTTGTAATTATAAGATAAATAGTTTAACTCAATTGAAACATTGTTGCGGATCTTTACTTCACTTTACTTTTTTTTCGCCACGAGCTGTCTTCGGGCGCGGACGCATTTGCTTTTTGATCCGCAAGTAATTTGTATACAGGGTGTTTGGTTCCGGGTTTTACATATTTCCAGGGTAGATAGGACTCCTAAAGTTATGAAAAAATCCCCATGAAACATAGGGTCGGAAATGACTGCTAAGTGAGTTATTCAACATTTTATGTTTTTTTGTAATGCCTAATTTGGTTAGCTATATTTTCTTAATCTTAATGTGGTTTTCTGATTTCAACATACCAAATGAAAGACTAATGCCTTAGCTATCAATGCTCTTTAGAAAAGAATTCGATTAAAGTTAGTTATCGTATATTAAAATTGAAAAGTATGTTGAAAGTACCAAAAAAACTGGTGAAATTTCATACATTTTAGTGTTTTTAAGTTGAAAATTTTCATTTCTGTTTATTTAGTTGTTTTACAAAACATTTTCCATGCAGTTTCCTAGATTTGTGCCTTTGGTAGTAACCTTGTAGTTTTTATGGTTTCTTCGTAATTATTGATTTAAAACAGCGATAAAAACTTGTGACGTTTTCATAAAATGCGCTATAGTCACCCTATTCGTTCGTACGTTCGGCTGTTGCAGTGGACTACGCACATGAAAATTTGGTAGAATATTATTGTAAATGTTTAGCTACATTCTTAACTTTTGATTACCGCACATCTCTTGCGCCGAAAGAAAACGTAACTGCGGAGATGTTCCGCGGTAACGAATATTGCTCAGTCTCAGCAGAAAACACAACGAGAGACACCGAATCAGCGAATTCTGAGAGCGGAAGGGAGAGAAGTAGGTAGTGGTAATAAGTCGATGTCCTTTTTATTTCATAGCACTCGCAGCTCAGCTGCGGTGCTGTTTCGATGGAGGAGTGTGGAGCTCCGCTGCTTCTGGATACACACTTAGATTTTTTACATGAGTTAGTATTTTTACTGGATTTTTGGATTACTGACTCGGTTAAAATTCAAATGACTGTTATTCGTAAAGATTGGATAAAATCGACAAATTTTATTTTTCATCATTACACGGGGTTAACAGAAGTTAGTCTGTAAATTTTCGTAACACATTTTCTCAACTTTGAATTTTTCACAGATTTTTTAAATTTTACCGAAGAGTTCCACAATTCAAAAACTCGGTAAAAATTACGGACTCGATAAGTGTGTATGGTTGGTGAAGAGGCTAGCATCTGGAGGGTATTCTCGGGCTAGTGAATGCCACCCATCCCCACTTATAATTCAGTTATACACTATTTATTCATTTCTGTTTGATATGTTTACAAAGTTTGCAAACAGAAATGAGCATTGCAGTGTAAAGGGTGATACGGTCAAAATTTGGTCAAGGGAAAACGCGTGTAAATCGGTGAAATCGTTTATTTAAAAAATCAAATTGGGGCCTCCTTTAGCTCAGTCGGTAAAGGCGCAGCTACAAAGCAAGACCATGCTGGAGGTGGCTGGGTTCGATTCCCGGTTCGGTCTAGGAATTTTTCGGGTTGGAAAATTTCTCGACTTCCCTGGACATAGACGTATGATTGGACTTGCCACACAATCATATGAATGCAAAAATGGTACAGGCATCGAAAGCTCTCAATTAATAACTGTGGAAGTGCATCTAGAACACTAAGTTGAGAGCACGCAATAAGCTAATATGCGGTATGCAATAAGCTTGAAATGCGAAGAAGAAGAAGAAGAAAAAAAATCAAATTAAATTTCTTTTTCAAGTTCAATTAGTATAAAATTCAGGAAAAATATTCAGTTAGGCTTCCGCTTTTCCAAATCCGAATTGCCGGGCCTTACGCTTGACCCCTGCCATCAGATTTTGTACAGCCACCTTGTCCACCTTCTTCTCCGCAGAAAGCCAGTTTGCCTTGAACTGCTGCTCGCCCTTAGCAGTTTTTTTGGTCTTCTTTAGGTTCCGCTTGACAATAGCCCAGTATTTCTCAATTGGGCGGAGCTCTGGCGTGTTGGGAGGGTTCTTGTCCTTGGGAACCACCTGCACGTTGTTGGCGGCGTACCACTCCATGGCCTTTTTACCGTAATGGCAAGATGCCAAATCCGGCCAAAACAGTACGGAACAACCGTGTTTCTTCAGGAAAGGCAGCAAACGTTTATTCAAACACTCTTTCACGTAAATTTCTTGGTTGACAGTCCCGGAAGCTATGAAAATACTGTTTTTCAAGCCACAGGTACAGATGGCTTGCCAAACCAGATATTTCTTTGCGAACTTTGACAGTTTCATGTGCTTGAAAACATCTGCTACCTTTCCCCTTCCTTTTGCCGTATAAAACTCCTGTCCCGGAAGCTGCTTGTAGTCGGCTTTGACGTAGGTTTCGTCGTCCATTACCACGCAGTCAAACTTCGTCAGCATCGTCGTGTACAGCCTCCTGGATCGCGCTTTGGCCGTCGTATTTTGTTTATCATCGCGATTTGGAGTCACTACCTTCTTGTAAGTCGATAGTCTGGCTCGTTTTTTGGCTCGATGCACGGTTGTAGACGATACACCCAGCTTATTTGCGGCATCTCGGAGAGAGAGGTTAGGGTTTCGCTTGAAACTACCGGCAACT